ACCTTACCTTTTAGCGGTGCCTGGGTGGCTCTGTCGGTTAAGTGTCCAACTTTGGGTCAGGTCATGATCTCACAGTTTGTGAGTTCTAGCCCCGCATCAGGCTCTGTGCTGACAGCTCAGAGCCTGGAGCCTGCTTCAGATTCAATGTCTCCCTCTCTCTCTGCCCCTCCCCTGCTCACACTCTGTCTCTGTCTCTAAAGAATGAATAAATGTTAAAAGAAGAAAAAGTGACCTTATCTTTTAGAGATTCATAGTGAAATACACATGATATGATGTCGAGGATAGACTGGGGCAGTAGGAGTGGGTCAGGGACATAGATGAAACAATATTGACCATTTGTTGATAATTATCAAAGCTGAGTGTAGCATATACTGGATTTATTTTTCTCATATCTCTTTTGTGTATGTTTGAAATTTCCCACAATATAATACTGTTTAAAAGAAGAAGAAGAGTTGGAGAAAAAAATAGAAGGAGTCTCCTGGAAAGAAAGAAAGGAAAGAAAAGAAAAAAGAAAAGAAAGGAAAAGAAAAGAAGGAAGGAAGGAGGAAGGAAAGAGGAAGGAAGGAAGAGGAAGGAAAGACAAAGAAAATACAAGCAAAAGATAAGAAACATGGGGGATTCACTGAGGATTTCCAAAAAGAACAAGAGAGGAAAGTATATGGAAGTGTGAAAATAATCAAAGAAATAATATGAGAAAGTTTCCCGATTCTGACAGCCATTAGTTTCTGGATTAAGCAGCCAACCACTAACCAACATCACAGATGGAAAAAGCCCCACACCAAAGTACATCGTTGAGAAATGTCATCAAGTTTGTATACTGGGCCACAAACCTCACACACCTTCTCACAGTCCCTCTCTGCCTCTTCTCTCTGTCTAGGACAGCACCCTCCTGGCTCCACTTGTAGGCCGAGTTGCCCCCCCACCCCAACTTTTAGAATTGGAGGAAATATCATACTGTGTGATGTGAATCCTGGTTTCTAGGTAGCTGCTAAAGGTCTGGATGACATATCTGGAAATATAGACCAGTTATATTTTGGATAATCTTTGATTCATGGAAGTAGGAGATGGGAGAGAGCTGGCCAGATGGATTCCTTCCCCTCCTTCACTCTCCCCTGCAGTTTCTTTTTATATTCCAGAAGATTCTCTTGTGCCTGGTGAGTGAACAGCCGCCTGGTAATGCCTGGCATCACATCCCCTTCCCTCACTCCTTTTTCCCCTCTACGTTCTATTATAAAAACTTTCAAATGTAGGAAAGTTGAAAGAATTTCACATCAAGAACCTGTATACCCATTACCTAGCCTTTACTGTAGACATTTTGAACAGCTTTATTGATATATAATTTAACTACCATAAAATTGACCTGTTTAAAGTATATATGTCAGTGGGTTTTAGTATATTCATAGAGCCATGCAAGCATTATCACAGTTTTAGAATCTTTTCTTCATCCCAGAAAGCAATCCCTTACCCTTTAGCATCACTCCTACTCCCTCTCTCTCAACCCTAAGTGACCACTAATGCACTTTCTGGCTCTGTGGATTGCCTATTTTGGACATTATATATAAATGGAAACATACAAAATATTGTCTTCTGTGTTTGGCTTCTTTAACTTGGCATAATGTCTTCAGGGTTCATCCATGCTGTAGCATGTATCAGTATTTCATTTTTTATGACCAATGTTCCATTGTATATCATTAATATTTTCTTAGATTCACTTTGTCACATGCCTATCCATTTATCTCTCTATTGATCCATTAGTCTGTCTTATATCTTTTATGCATTTTTTTAAATGTTTATTTATTTTGAAAGAGAGATAGAGAGAGACAGAGCATGTGAGCAGGGGAGGAGCAGTGAGAGAGGAGAGAGAGAATCCCAAGCAGGCTTCATGCCCAGTCCAGAGCCTGACAAGGGGCTCAATCCCACAACCCTGAGATCATGACCTGAGCCAAAATTAAGAGTCGGATGCTCAACTGACTGAGCTACCCAGGTGCCCCTCTTTTATATATTTCTAAGTAAGCTTACTCCCCCTTTTCTTCAACCCTTAGCACCTTGGCCTTGCACAAGATCACCCTAGGTACAAAGGAAGCTGGGAGATGTAGTGCTTAGCCTTCTGACTTCCCTAGTAGAGGGACAAAAGGGAAAAGGGAGATAGGGAATGAGTTTTTGCTGTTTTGGCATACAGTGTTTCTTATCCACATCTTTCCCTCTAGTCTCCCCTCCCACCATTGCATCCCACAGATCTTGTATTCCAGAAATGCCAAATTCCTTAAAGTTCCCCACATTATTCCTGACTCCTATACTCCTGGAGTATTCCACACTCCTGAGCATATGCTCATTAGCTGGCTAGTCTTCTCTGTGTGACAGGTTCTTCCTTCATGATTCAGCTCAGCTATCACCCTTCAGTGAAGTATCCCCAACACACACACACACACACACACACACACACACACACACATACCCCTCAGGCCTCTCTGTGCTTGTTTTATACTTCCATTATGGCATTTACCTTACTTTATTGAATTAACCTTTTGACCTGTCTCTATCAGCTTATAAGTCCTAAAGGGCAAGGGCCAGGTATTATATGTCTTGGTATCCCTAGAACTCACTGGAGGGCCTGGCTCAATAAATATTGGTTGGATAGTGACTGGAAAACATCTAGGTACCGTCTTTACTCTTGTTTATTGAACAAACATTTTGTTGGGCATGCACCAGATGAGGCCCTGCAGTAAGTACCTAGTTTGGATACAAAGATGAGTAAGACTATATCCTGGGCCTCAGAGGAGCCCACAGGACCTTTTGTCTGGACACATGCAAAACTAGACAAGATACCAGGGCAACAGATGTAAACTGAGACTGTACCGGTCAAACCGGAACATATGGTCACCCAAATTATATGTCAGCTTCTATGAAAACAGCAGTGCCACGCTGACTCATGCCCAGCTCGTCAGACCTCAGTCACTTCCAGAACAGGCCAATTACTTCTCATTAGTGCTTGGGTCATATATATTTTTCATTGTTGTTATCCATGTAGAAATTACCCATGGAATTTAATATTCCTAATGCACTATATATACTGTGCATATGAAAAACATATACTTAAGCAATTAGACAGAAAAAAATCACCTAATAAACAACTAAAAACACTTTCTAACTTTTTTGATGTACTGGAATGCGTATTTGTAATCGGTCTGTGAAACCCAGTATATATTTAAACTTCTTGGTATTAACAATAGACTCAAGTCGGTTGTCTTTATTGATGGGCATTTGGATATTTCCAACTTGTGACCGTTAGGAATAATGGAGCTGTGAACATCTCAGCATAGATTTCTTTTTCCTTCTTCTGAGTCATTTCTTTGAGATACATACTCCAAAGGTAAGTAAACTGTTTGAAGAACAGGAATAATTGGTCTATTATTGTCTATGACTCTATATGTTATTGCTCTCCTAAAAGTCTAGGTCAATTTACAGAGCACATCTGTTTCTCACAACTCTGCCAATAATTTACATTATCATTTTTATGTACTAATAGAAGCATATTGTCATTTTAGCACGTGCTTTGAATTTTTAATTTCTGCAGAAGTTACGCATTATGCTTTAACCAAAAACAACTTAGTTTTTATGAAACCATAATGTGTTTGTGTATGTGTGTATATACACACACATGTATATATGTGTGTATATATGTATATATACATATATTATAAACCATGTATATATGTGTATTTATGTGCATATATACACATATATACATGGTTTAGAATTATAAGGTATGTTATAGGTATTCATTAAATATTTGTCAAATGAATGACTTATTAAAATCACACATTCACTAAAAGACAATAACTGCATGATTCCACATACATGAGGGACCTAGAGTAGGCAGATTAATTGAGACAGAAAGTAGAATGGTGGTTGCCAGGGCCTGGGGAATGGGGGCAATGGGGAGTTGTTTGATGGGCATAGAGTTTCAGTTTTGCAAGCTGAAAAGAATTCTGGAGATGGATAGTGATCATGGTTGCACAACAAGGTGAATGTACTTAATACTCTTGAACTGTACATTCAAAAATTATTAAGATGGAAAATTTTATGTTACATGTATTTTGCTGTAAAAAATACATATTTAAAAAATACCTTTTTTAATCCAGTGGTCATTTGGCATACATTGCCACTAGAAGGGTGCCTACAAAATATGGTCATGCATGTGAGATGAAATTTCATGTGTGGAATTTTCTAGATTAAGATGACTATGCTAATTTTTCAATGCAGAGACAGGCAGAGATGTGTGATATTAATATCAATATATAGCAAATAGAATAAGAATTACGGACCAGGTAATATATGAACATTCAATATTAGCAATAAAGTGCTCAACCTTTAAAAACCCATGCATCTAGGAGTGCGTGGATGGCTCCATCTGCTAAGTGGTCAACTGTTGATTTCAGCTCAGGTCACCATCTCATCGTTCATGAGTTCGAACCCCACATTGGGGTCTGCTCTGGCAGTGTGGAGCCTGCTTGGGATTCTCTCTCTCCCTCGCTCTCTCTCTGCCCCTCCCCCACTCACATGTGCATGCACTTACTCTTTCTCAAAATAAATAAGTAAAATTTTTTGAAAAATAATACCATGCATCTAATTTTCTATTATTTGTGAATAAAATACAGAAGCCAACCTTACGGGAATCATAAAGACATCCACTTGAACTTTTCACCTTAACGGTGAAGTGGGGAAATCAGGGCAGCTTCATCTGTCCCTTTTATAATGCAATCCAGCTAAATCCTCTTTATATCTCACTTGCCAGAATAGATCACATGGCCTGCCCCAACTGCGCTAGATGAGGCTGGGAAAGCAGGGACTAGAATAGGTTAGACACATTGCAGCCCCAAATAAATTAAGTTTCCCTAAACAAAGAAAGAAAAGGATAATGGGTATTGGATAGGCAATCAGCAGCATTTGTTATACTCACATCAGTGTCTTTGTTTTGTTTCTCGTTTGGGGTATTACAGGCTGGAACCAATGGTTATATGGCTCCTGAAATCCTAATGGAAAAAGTGAGTTATTCCTATCCTGTGGACTGGTTCGCGATGGGATGCAGTATTTATGAAATGGTTGCTGGACGAACACCATTTAAAGATTACAAGGAAAAAGTCAGTAAAGAGGATTTAAAGCAAAGAACCCTGAAAGAAGACGTCAGATTCCAGCATGATAACTTCACAGAGGAAGCAAAAGATATTTGCAGACTCTTCTTGGCTAAGAAACCGGAGCAACGTTTAGGAAGCAGGTAAACTACCATATAACAGAGGTGATTAGCAGTGTCAGCATTGTCCGTGGGGATTTGGGAAGTACTTTGGATTAGTGCTGAGGCCTTGAAGTTAAGTTTTATTATTATTTTCCTATTATTATTTGCATGTTATATTGTTAAGTATACACTTTAAAACACTGTGAGCACTTGATATGGAACAATCTCCGAGAGATATATGTATATACATATATATACATATATATGCAGGTGTATATATATATATATATGTAGATATATCTTGTTTTGATAGATATATAATATATAAATATATATAAATGTATAAAAGTAAAAATATATATTATTTATATTTAATACATATTTTTAATATTTATTTATTTTGCAAGACAGCATGCGAGTGGGCTAGCAGAGGGGCAGAGAGAGAGGATGAGAAAGAATCCCAAGCAGACTCCCCACTAGGCATGGAGCCCAAGGCAGAGTTTGATCTCATGACCTCAAGATCATGACCTGAGCTGAAATCAAGGGATCAACAGTAGGACACTTAACACTTTACTTAACACTTAACTGCCATCCAGGCACCGTGAAAATTCTGCCACTTAATTTTTTTAATTAAAAAAATTTTAATGTTTATTTTTTATTTATTTTTTTTATTTATTTCTAGGAGAGAGAGAGAGAGAGACAGCGTGAGCAGGGGAGGGCCAGAGAGAGAGGGAGTCACAGACTGAAACAGGCTCCAGGCTCTGAGCTGGCAGTCAGCACAGAGCCCGACGCGGGTCCCGAACCCGTGAACCGCGAGATCATGACCTAAGCGAAAGTCGGATGCTTAACCGACTAAGCCACCCAGGCGCCCCTTAATGTTTATTTTTAAGAAAGAGAACATGCACGCATGCTGGTGGGGGAGGGGCAGAGAGAGAAAGGGGGACCAAAGATCCAAAGAGGGCTCCAAGCTGAGAGCAGAGAGCCTGATACAGAGCCTGAACCCACAAGCCCCAAGATTAAGACCTGAGCTGAAGTCAGATGCTCAACGACTAAGCCACCCAATTGTGCCACTTTTTTAAAAAATATGTTTTAATGTTTTTATTTATTTTTGAGAAACAGAGAGACAGAGCATGAGCAGAGGAGAGGCCGAGAGAAGGAGACACAGAATCCCAAGCAGGCTCCAGGCTCTTGAGCTGTCAGCACAGCCAGATGTGGGGCTCGAACTCATGAACTAGGAGATCATGACCTGATCCAAAGTTGGACACTTACCCAACTGAGCCACCCAGGCACCCCCAGGTGTGCCACCTTTAAATGGCTCTGCAAGATATCAGTCAGTCAACAGATTTTTAGTGAGTACATATCATGTTGCCAGCTATGTTAAGTACAGTTGAAGTTCGTTTTAAAAAATTTTTTAATATTTATTTATTTTTGAAGGAGAGAAAGAGTGTGCAGAGGGGAGGAGCAGAGAAAGAGGGAGACACAGAATCCGAAACAGACTCCAGGCTCTGAGCTGTCAGCACGAAGCCCAACATGAGACTCAAACTCACGAATCATGAGATCATGACCTGAGCCTAAGTTGGACGCTTAGCTGACTGAGCCACCCAGGTACCCTGAAATTTGTTTTGAAAAAAGTCAAGCTTTACTGCTTACATGGAATAATAAGATCAAGATATTTAGAAGACACAATAAGTAAAAGCTGACCTGTTAAAAGGCCCTTGGCAGTAGGTGACTATGTTATATAGAGACAAAACCAAGGCTTTATATTCACAGACATAGACTCACATCCCAGCTCTGCTATGTCGTTTTACCTCAAGCAATTGAATTACCTTCTCAGAGTCTCAATATCCTCATGTATTAAAATGGAGAGTTTATGGAGGTGATGATTAACTTTATATCAATTTGTCTAGACCACCATACTCCAATATTTGATCAGTTATTCTGGATGTTTCTGTGCAGTTATTTTTTAGGTAAGATTAATATATAAATCTGTAGTCTTTGAGTAAAGGAGCTTATTCTTCATCATGTGGATGGGTCTCATCCAATCAGTTGAAGGCCTTAACAGAAAAAGACTGACTTCCCTGCAAGAAGAGGCAATTCTTCCAGCAAACCACCTTTGGACTTGAAATGCAGCTCTTCCTTGGGTCTCCAGCTTGGCAATCTACCTTGTAGAATTTGGACTTGCCCAACCTCCACACAATTGTGTGAACCAATTCCTTAAAATAAATCCCCCCCCGCCCTCTCTCATATACATGCACATATATTGTCAGAGAGAAAAAAACATTTCCTCTACCCTTTTAGGTGTGGAAGCCTGCAAACTCAACTGAAAAAAGACAGATTAGTAAGAGAAAGGACAGTTTTTATTCATGCTCATATACAAGATTTCACAGAAAAACATGACTGGGATCAGTTGGAATTATATGTCATGTTAATAGGGGAAAAGGAGCAGGGAAAGGGTGCTTATAGGAAAACAAATGGTTTCTTAGGATTGGTAGGGAGACAGGCACGTAGGAAAACTAATGACTTTTAGGAGAGAGACATGGACCCTTAGGAGAATAGTCAGGTGATATGATAGTTTTGTGACAATGTTGAAGTGTAGTGCTGACTTCTGTCACTGGTGATAGGAGTCAATCTTTCCTGGTCTAAAACTCCCAGAGAGAAGATTTATGAGTTGATTTTTTGGGGGAGTCTTTGCTTCAAGGCAAATAAGGGGAGTTCAGAACCTGTATGTGTTGACTCTCAAATGCCTTCAGCTCAAAATAATTTTTATACTGCTATGGTACATTCCAGACCTCTTCAATATCCTCTTGGTTCTGTTTCTGTAGAGAATCCTAATGAATACAGTGGGATATTTTGAGGTTTAGATATAAATACGTAAAGTTAGGTATAATATATGTTAGGAATCATTCAATAAGCAATAGCAATTATTAATTTGTTCTAAGAGAGATAGCAGATAATATTTTGACTTGAATGTCTTAAATTCTTGGACTAAATTTTCAATATTTCAAATTATATGCAGGGGCACCTGGGTGGCTCAGTCAGTTAAACCTTTGACTTCGGCTCAGGTCATAATCTCATGGTTCATGAGTTCTAGCCCTGCATTGGGCTCTGTGCTGACAGCTCAGAGCCTGGAGGCTGCTTCAGATTCTGTGTCTCCCTCTCTCTCTGCTCCTCCCCTGCTCCTCCCCTGTTTCTTGTTCATTTTAAATAAACATTTAAAAAATTGTTTTAATATATACAAACATAAGGGTGTCTCGGTAGCTCAGTCAGCTGAACGTCTGACTCTTGGTTTCAACTCAGGTCATGATCTCAGAGTTGTGGGATCAATTCCCAAACCAGACTCTCTGCTGTGTTTGGAGCCTGCTTGGTACTCTTTCTCTCTCTCCTGCTGTCCCTCTCTGCTGCTCACATGCGCTGTCTCTCTCTAAAAACAAATAAAAAATACATTTATATACAAATATGAAAACTACAACATGAAATAATATGACTGATTTTTAATATTACACCAGAACTTAGGCAATAAAATTACCCTAAATCTTACAAGCAAGTACTTGTTGCTAGTGAAGCTTCTAGAACAAGGCTGTCTTAATTAAAAATATTAGAGTATGGAGGTAAATTTTTACTTTTTGACCTGAATTTTTAAGTTTATTAATTTTTGAGAGAGACAGAGATGAGGGGGAGAGAGGGGCAGAGAGAGGGAGACAGAGAAACTCAAGAAAGCTCTGCACTGCCAGCACAGAGCCCAACGTGGGGCTCAAACCCATAAATCTCGAGATCATGACATGAGCCAAAATCAAGAGTTGGACGCTTAACTGGCTGAGCCAGACAGGTGCCCCAACTTGACTTTTTAAGATAGCAAAACAAAATCCTTTTGTAATAACTTTCAAAGCACAACAGATACCAAACTAGAAAACAAGTATTTTGAAATTTGGTGGAAACTCTGCATTTGTGTGAAGTAAAACCTGGAGCTGATTTTCCTGTGCAGATTCCAACGTTGCATTGTGTGGTCAGAATAGGCCACGTCATGATAACAAGCAAATCCCAAAGGTCCCTGCAGCTTAAAAATAAGGGAGTTTTTCTCATCCACACAAAGTCCATTGTGGGTCCAGCAGCACTGCAGGGTGTCACCCCGCTGAGCAGTGACTCAGAGACCCAGGCTGCTTCCCTCTGACAGCACCATTGGAACTGGCGGCTTCCAGTTGCTCTAGTAAGAGAAGAGAGCACAGAGAACCTAGGGAGCTCTGTACCGCCTCAGTCAGGAAGTGACCCATTTACACGTCACTTCACACGCACTTCCGTTTGGCCAGAATGAGTCTTGGCTCCGTGCAAGGTCGAAGGGTCTGGCTAGTGTTGTCTTCCATCTGCCCAGGAAGGAGAGGAGACCCAGAAACGGTGACCACTGACCACGTCTACGGCGCGGGTTCTCAAGCACGGGGAGCCTGAGCGGGAGCACCAACAGTGGTGGAGGAGGCGGAGAGGAAGGGAGACAGTTTCTTTAGATGATTTCCCTGAAGGGAACACTACTGCTTGCCAGGATTTATTGAAAATCTATAAACACGCTGTGAGTACATAAAATAAAATGTTGACAAACTTCTTCAGGAAAATGCCACCTTAAAGCACTGGCTCATTGCCTGAAGCTGCTCCATCAAGCAGAACCTTTTAATAAAGCATCTGTTGTTGTGACTGTTTTGAATAAAACTGTTTACAACATTAGAGAAAAGGCATATAAAAACCAGCTGTTCAGTGAAAGACAAAACCTTCCAACATTTTCATTTCAACTCTCTGTATTTTTTTAGAAATTCAAATGAGATAACGCTTGATTGATTTAGTGGTGTCCTTCAAGGCCAAGCAAATACCTACACAGCATGTCACACAGCAGACAGGTCCTGTGCCCCCTCCCTGTTGTGTTCACGAACATTTGAAATAAATTTTAAAACCCTTTGCCTTCTTTAGACGTCACCGAAAGGATGTCTTCATAGGTCTGTGAATTAATTTTGCAGAGAAGTTGAAAGCTTTTCTGAGCATCTCACAAGGGCACCTGAAAGGATTTATGGCGTTTCCCAATAAAATAAAAGCTGAAGCCCACTTAAGCATTTTGCAGGTTTTATTCTGACCAGTCAGTGCAGCAGAACAAGATCAAATAACCATGCAAGCCTCTGACTTAAGTGCTTCTCCAACACATAATTTCATACCAATACATACTGTCTTGTCAGACCAAAGCCCATGGTGTATGGTCAGGTGATATCCTTGCTCCTTTGACTATTATAAGAAAATCCATTGTAATATCTGTGTGGGGTTCAGGAGCACAAGAGCCCCTGTAAATGCTGTGACATAAAATCTACTCCAACAAGCAGAAGAATCTACTTTCCTACGGTGGCCGGTTTGGCTACTATAAAAGATGCTGCCTCCATCAATAGCCTCTCTTGTTTGTCCAAAGTGCACCGCATAATGGTGGGTCAAAAGATCTCTGTGTGAAGCTGCCAGGGGAAGATTCAACAGTAAAATAATACTCATGCTATTTCTAATTACAGACCCGACGTAAGAGACACTCGTGCAGAAAATAAAGTGATCAGCTTTGCAGCGGCCCAGACACCCAGTTGAAGGAATAGGGGTTAGAAAGCCTAGTCTTTTGTCATCAGCATCAGCCACCACAGACATTTAGTGAAAAAGGCCCTAAAGCATGGGCCCTGCCCCCCAGGGGCATCTAGTTGGGGTGTTGGAGAACAAAGAAAACCTTTAGTGGGCTATCTTCCTTTGTTCTTTGTGACTAGTTGCAAAAGGGCTGCAGTCGCCATCCCTGATGGGCAAGCCAAGGCCATTTGGGCCTGTTTCTTGAGATGTTACTTGAGAACTGTTTATCCTGATGTCAAGACTGGCCTGACAAGTTTCTCAAAGTTACTGAGCCCCTGGGCGCTCTTTGTGTATCCAAGTTAAAAGTGCTCAGTGTGAGTTTAAGGAGCTCTCTCTCTCTCTCTCTCTCTCTCTCTCTCTCTCGACCTGTGGGACAGTGTGTTCATGCTACTGGTGGCCATCAAGATGGTACACACTCCTTCCTCTCCAACTCTTTTGTTTTCTTGGAGACCCAGGGACTTGAGATTCGTTCCTGATCTACTTGGATGGAATTCTAGCTCTATCCTTGTTCTGCTACATTTAAAATCTACGTGATACCCTCCCCACACCAAAATCTGACAGCTTAAAATGGTGAGTGTTGCTGTATAAATTGTACCTCATAAACCTAACTTCAGAGAAAAATCCATCTTCGAAGCTTCAAATGATCTCAGTAACCCTCCCTCAAGACTCTGACTTTACAGGGGGTAAGCCACACACACTGGTCAATAAGTTCTAGGAGTCAGCAAGCCTGTATTTTCCTTCCTTTTGAGTGAGCAAGACTTGGCTTTGGGAAGAAAAGAGACACCTTGCAGTATCTCCTGATGCAGTTCTCCTTACCTGTTTTCAGCTGTTTTCATAATTTCACCTGTTTTCATAATGAGAAAAGTCCAAGGAGTCCTGAAGCAGCCTTTCTGGATGGTACTAAGCCTGAACCACAAAAACCAACCCAGAGAACGGCTAGACATCAGATGCCTCCAACTGAATTTCTCTTTTTCACAATAATATTTTATTACAATTTTCATTTGACAGGCATTGTTGTGAGGATTGACTGTGATAACATAAGTGCAGCACTTCACTTTGTGTTGGCCGAGAATAGGCTCTGGATAGATGCTAGTTATTCTCGTTGTTATTAGTAATGTCATTATCGTGTTTAGAACCTATTGGATAGAATCTGCTGCAGTAATTGCCTGACATAGTTGGGAGTCTCTGAAGGGGATATATGGGAGAAGTCCTCAGTTTTTTTCCTGAAAACTTTTTGATTACTGGAATAAATGTAAAGGGAAAACTATGAATGTGATTAATTTTTACTAAGATTGATTTATGACAGAAATTGACTTTTCCGTAAAGGAAGACATTTCATAGAGCAGCATATCTATTCACATAAAAGAAAAAGTAAGGGGCGCCTGGGTGGCTCAGTTGGTTAAGCGTCCGACTCTTGGTTCAGCTCAGGTTGTGATCTCACAGGTTCGTGAATTCAAGCCCTGCGCTGGGTTCTGCACTGGCAACGCAGAGCCTGCTTGGGATTCTCCCTTTCTCCCTCTCTCTCTGCCCCTCCCCTATTCATGCTGTCTTTGTCTCAAAATAAATAAATAAACTTTTTTTAAAAAAAGGTAAAGGAAAAAATCGTTTGAATCTGATGCCTTTTTATTTCTTTAAAATGTGGACTTAAGAGGAACCAAAAGAAATGTGTAGTTGGCTGTCCCTAGTATGGTTCCCAAAGGTCCCCCTTCTCTTATCCACACTCCTGTGTAATCCCTTCTCTTAAGGGTGGGCTGGACGTACTGATTTGCTTCTAAAAATATGGCAGAGGTAATGAGATGTCATTTCCAAGATTAGGTAGTAAAAGACTGCTTTTTTTAAAATCTCGGGCTCGCTCTCACTCACTCTCTCCCCATAAAAATTGTGAGATAATAAATGTTTGTTGTTTTAAGCCACCAAATGTTGGGGTGGCTTGTTACACAGCAATAGATAACTTATACAAGAGGTTACACAATTGGGAACATACATTTTTCTCCCTTATTTTAAGGCAAATACTAGAATAATTTCTAGCACAAGGCCTTGATAACCAATAACCATAGTCTTGGGCACTGAAGGTATGCTCATTAACACTACTTAAAATTACTAATGGATTTTTTTTAAGTCTTTAAAAATATTGTGGCAGTGGGGGGAGGTAGGTGGAGCTCCTAGAAATCGTGTCATATGAAGAGTGAGGAGATACGGTGCTGTCTTTCAGAATGTGGTGGGAAGAGACATTCTTCCCTTGTTCTGTCTGACTCTGAGGGCAGAGCAAAATGCAGTGACTGGTAGTTGCAGGCAAGCAGGTTCTAGCCCCACTGAATTTTGCTTATACTTCCACAAAATACTAAGAATAAAAGTCATGCCAACTGCTTGACTCTAAAAACTAGATCTACATGTGAAGGTTATCTGCAAATGATGAAAATGCTACTGTCTGTGTAAGGTGGAATTGTGGGTAAGTTTTAAAGTTATTCTTCTAAATTATTCTTTACATTGTTATATTGTCTTTGCAATTAAAATGAAATGTATTACAGGAAAAGAATGCACATTTTGTATTGTTAGAACATTTCCTGTTTTTGGTTTGTTAGTGTGACTCAATCTGACCCATCTTCTTACTTCACAGAGAGAAGTCCGATGATCCCAGACAACACCCTTTCTTCAAAACCATCAATTTCGCTCGCCTGGAAGCTGGCCTAGTTGAGCCCCCATTTGTGCCAGACCCTTCTGTGGTTTATGCCAAAGACATCGCTGAAATTGAAGATTTCTCTGAGGTTCGGGGAATCGAATTTGATGATAAAGATAAGACGTTCTTCCAAAGATTTGCAACAGGTGCTGTCCCTATAGCATGGCAGGAAGAAATTATAGAAACCGGACTGTTTGAAGAATTGAATGACCCCAACAGGCCTGCAGGTTGTGGGGATGGTAATTCATCCAAGTCTGGTGTGTGTTTGTTATTATAAGTTGTTCTCTCTACCAGATGGGCAGCAGGAATCTCAGCTGACATAATCCTCGAATGTTCCTAACACATGAAAATCTGTTAAATGAGGACTGATCAATGAGGAGGGGCATTTCAACCAAAGAGCAGTTCAAAGGACAGGTGAGCTTACCACTAGGACACATTTTTCTCTTGCCTTCCTCCCTCCCTTCCTTCCTTACCTCCTTCTCTCTCCCTCCACCTCTTTCTTCTTTCTGTTTTTTCATAAAGATGAGTCAAGTAAAGTCTCGGTTTTCACCAAGGGCTGGGAAAAGGAACACTTAGGTTTATTTTGATAAACTAAAAGCATGAGCCTCCAGCATCATGTCCCTGAAAATGACACAAAGTCCTAGGAATAGAGAATGGAACTTTGTGGTGTACTCAGTAAATGAGCATTTGCAATTCTTAGTAAATAATCATTTTAGTTTTTCTTTGTTTATATCCCTTGTTCCCTTCATCTTTCAGTATTTCTTCTGCTTCTGTACTTGTAAAAAGGATTTGGAAGCTGAAAATAAATGTTCCTGATACTTTCCCCCTGGAAAAGAATTGATTGTAGTATTTTGGCAATGTTTTAAATTACAGAATAATTTTTAATGTACTGAAAGTCTCTGATTCATATTTTGGAAATATTTTGCCATTATAATGTTGAAGTATTTTAAATGTAAACATACATGAGACCTGTGAATTTATAGTGTTCCGTAAGTCGAGTCCTTTGGATAACATCTACAAATTGCTTATGTGTATTTTTCCATATCGCATTGGTTCCCAAACTTTGCTAAACTTTGGAGTCACCTAGGAATCTTTCAAAAATACTAATGTCTGACTCTCATCCCCAGATTTTAATTGATCTAGAGTGCAGCCTGGGCATCTAGATTTTCAAAAGCTCCCCAAGTGCTTCTGATGTGAGGCAAGCCTGAGAACCATGGCCTTGTAGGCTTAAATGCTGTTATATATGGACTCTTGTTTTGGTTACTCAAAGCTTCTAGTATACATTTGACAGCAACTTTTCAAATACCCATAAAACATGTAATTTTGGCAGTTGCAGTATATATGAGACTGAAGATAATCTGTATTCATATTGTAGATTTTCTTGTCCTTGTACACTTACACTCTTCACACATACCTTCGGAAGTAGATCTCTTGGTGATTTCAAGACCTAAAGGAGAAATACCGACTCGGAAACTGATTTGAACAAGTGGTAGCCTTCAGTTCAAGTGGCTGCCCCTCCAGTATTATAGAATTCGCATTTCTCAAAAGCACAGCCAAAGTGAAAATTCTAAGGGTGCAAAAAAATATTTTGGACACAAACATAAATCTGAGGTGATTATACTTAAAGAAAAAAAAAAAGAGAGAGGGATGCCTGGCTGGCCCAGTTGGTAGAGGATGTGACTCCTGATCTCGGGGCTGTGAGTTTAAGCCTCATGTTGAGTGTAGAGCCTACTAAAAAGAGTAATAATAAAATGAATTTTTAAAAAAGGAACAAAAAAGATATATGTGTGCATATGAAAATCTCACTTGTCCCAGTGGTGAGAAATCTGGCTGAAATTAATTTAAAAATTGTGCCCCTTGAGTAAAGGGAGCCAAGAGCTGTAAAAACACTGGCCAAAAAATATTTGGTTAACTGGAATCCAGCTAACGGCAATCCTCAACTACAAGACAGCATTTGGCATTTGGCATATCCAAACAAGTAGTAAGAAATCCTCTTGGACTTGAGTCCTGGGTTAGTGCCTCTGCCACTCACCCTTCCTGCTCATTCTCTATCCTCAGCAAGCTCTCGATGCTCCAAATCCTGCCCTGGAGACACCACAGAGTCCTGAGTCATCAAAGCAGATACAGATACAGGTGTGTCCAGAAGATTCTTTTTCCTAAGGCAAGAAAGTAGATTGCAATTTGATAAGATTCCTAATAAGTCTATTTTAACAAAAAAAAAAATTCACAAGGAACAGAAATCCAGTTCACCAGAGCATTCCAAGAGTAGAGGTCTTAGGGTTTAGCTTTATAATTAGACATTTAAAAGTAATGTCATGTTGCATTTGTTCTTCATTGTGAATGTCTGCTTCTTTTGATAAACTTAGAACTAACTCAGGAAAGTAACTGAATAAGATAACTATATTCAATCACCAAGTAAATATATATGTTTTGAGCTCTAGTTCACACTGAGCCCTATCCTAGGCATTTAGTGGACACCACAGAGAAATAAGACTACTGTCTAAGAGGGGCTATCTGGTGTAGTATAGAACACAGATTCCTGTCAGTGTTACTATTCACATTTTAAGTGAGAAACTGAAGCTTATAGGTGTTCTGTAGCTTATCCAAGGTCACACAGCTTTTCAGGGTTGTTGCGAAGACTAGAAATAATGTATATGAAGCACATAGCACATGATTACATATAGTAGGGGCATAATAAATTGAAGGCTGTAGTCAGTAAGTAGCAACTGGTCAAATGACTCTAGGTCAGGGAACAAACTAGTAAGAGCTAAACCTGGCTACTTTAATTAAAAGTTCCAAAGGAGGTGAGAGAAGGAAGAGAGGTGGGTACTGGGGAACAGTTTAAAAGGAAAGTTTTTACACACCATGAAAGCAAAAACTACTTAGAATGAGTGGAGACATTGGAGTCCATCCCAGGCCCCATCCTTGCCTCATGCCAGGTGCAGGACCCACCTGGGGCCACGTCAGAGTTGCTAAGCGATCTGTGCATCTGTGCAGGTCATGGGCGGGATTCATGTAAAGTCTTAAAGAAGACGAAACCTGATGTCTCATCAAAGGAAAAAAGTGATTTTTGAAAGGGGATGATGCTTGCTTATTTTCCAAAAGTGAGAATGAGCTTACATTTTTAGAGAAAAGTTTCATAAACATAATGAAACATCAGGGGAAACAGAGATATAAGTGAAATATTCAGACAAAGAAGGACCAGAGAGTTTGTCAGGGATTATTTGGAATGTTTCCTACAGGAGGAGATGGGTTTAAAGGAGATGGATAAACTGCTTAAAGGGACAGAGAGGTGCCCTCAAAGCAGAAGGTATGGATGAGGTTTTCATAGAAATCAGTGATGAATTACTGAGTTTAAGACTGCAAGCCACAAACTGCTAAAAAATATTCTCAAGTGTTTATTTAGAATATCAGATTTAAGATGTTTCTCATTTAAGTGACAAAGCATGGATTGAAAATTCAATACATTGGGCTTCTTAGGAATTGCAAGTCTTGAAATCCTGAGAGTCTTATCAGATGGATTTCTAAAGTTTATTACATTGTATGTATCATTAGGTACAAGAATTTGTATATGTATAATGTATAATTAGATACAAGAATTTGGGGGGCAGGGGTTGCCTGGAAGACTTATTATATTAGCTATTAGCCATTTTGATTATCAAAAAATTTTTCAAAGACTTACTGAGTTTTCTTGGATTGTCTAGGAAAAATAATTTCAGTCATGTAGCTTTAGTTATTCTTTTAATAAACATTGCTACCTGCCATGTGCCAGACTCCATTTTGGTTTGGGGAGAGATGCTTGGTTTTCTCCCTTTAGGATTTTTAGATTGAAAGGTGCTTTTGTTCCCTCTGTGTGTCAGTAAACTTTTATATCTCTCTGGGTAGAGATGAATTTTGTTCTTTCCACTTTTTCTCAAGTTTTCTGCGTGAAGCACATTTTTATTTTAAAAATCAGGAAAAAGTGTATTACTGAAAGCAAGGCAGGGCCCATCACAGTTAGACCTGGGTATGTGGGGCATGTCCAGGCTGGCTCTGGCCATAACCGTTCCCTGAGAACCCCTTTCTGGCCAAAGGGTATTAGCCTGGGTCCTGGGAGTTAGGCTAGGACTTCCAGTCTAAACCAGCAGAATATCCCTGGACAGAGCCAGCAATTGGTACCTAAGGCTGGGCCGGATTATTTGTTCCACAATCCAGAGCATGAGCTGTGGTGGTCTGTGGTGAAAGTTTTACTAAACCCCAGAGAAGGGAAAGCAAGTACAAGGCTGCAAAGTTTTTTGTGCACTATTCACTTCAAAATATCTTTTTATGAAGCAGTTGATGTTTGACAAAAGTAAAATTGGAGACCCTCTGACTCTCCCTCAAAATTTTTTTGAAATTTAGTGACCTGTGAGATCTCAAATTCTGGGAACCCCTGAACTGGATGACCTTAAAGGGCACTCCAATTGTAGGGAAACATTTGTGCTTCAGTGGAAAACTAATGCATTGCCTAGAGGAGTATATGCAAACTTGATCTGTAAAAGACCAGAAAAAGTCTTTCTTATTTCTTAGTTTTTGCAGAAGACAACTACTTATCTCTGCCTTTGTAATGGGAAAACAGCCATAGCAGATGTGTGAAGGACTGAGTATGGCTATGTACCAATGAAGTTTTATTTACAAAAAACAGGTGGTAGTACTAGATTTGACCCACAAGTAGTAATTTACTGTTCCTAGTCAAAAATTATCTTGTTATTAAACTGACTAGCTTATCTGATTCTAAGGGAGCTATTTTATAATTCTATAAACTGTAGATGATTAATGGGAATGCAAAATAATTCTTGTGTATAGACATGCAAATGACCCTCCCCCACTGCAGTAGTTGGCCAGGGCTGTGATAACAAAGTATTGCAGACTAGGTGGTTTAAAAACAGAAAGTTATTATCTCAAAGTTCTGGAGGCTCCAAGTCCAAGATCAAGGTGTGAGTGGGGTTGATTTCTTTTGAGGCCTCTCTCCTTGACTTCTAGATGACTACCTTCTCTGCCCGTAATCTTCCTTCTGTGTGTCTCTGTGTCCTAATTTCTTTCTGTAAGGACACCAGTCATATTGGATTAGGGCCCATCCTAGTGACCTCATTTAATTTAATCATTTCTTTAAAGACCCTACCTCCAAACACAGCCATAGTACCTGGGGCTTAGGACTTTAACATGTGAATTTTGATAGCTACAACTCAGCCCAGTAGCCCCTAAGCCAGTTTATGTTAATTTGCTCATTCATTTCAACCTTCCTTTGCTGCATATAGGTGTACAGTTTTTATTACTTTTTCAACTGATTGTAGCACCAGTTTTCTCATGAATGAGTTAAATAAAAATCTTTAACATGTGTTCATTTTTATTTCCATATGATAGTCCCAATTTTACCTTTTTTTTTTTGAAGATTATCCATTGACACAACCCAGAATGTCACAATACCATCAAAGAACCTAAAGCCTATTTTTGAAATTCTGCTTCCATTAACAAAAGTTCTGAGCAAGAGCCCTTTCTCTTTTTGTTCTCTTATGAAACACACAGCAGAAAGAAGAGCCCCTAAACAGAGGGCTGGGGGTGTGGTGGCAAGCTCAGAAAGCAGCTAGCATTTCCCCAGCAGTTTGGTTGAAGTGCACAGGGCCAGCTGACTATTATATATTTTTAAACCACGTCTCCTCACCCTGCCTCTCCCATCTGCACTGCCAGTTGCCTTGTACATTCCTGCCTTGCCCATGCTTCCTGCATGCCGCAGGAGAAGCTATTGGGGAGAGAGAAGCAGAGAGGAGAAAGCCGGGAGCCAGAAGAACCAAAAAGGGCTT